GCCGCCTGAATTAATGATGCGAGAAGTCGAATTTTTTCAAAGCAAAGCAGGATCAGAATGTTCCCAAACGTGACTAAAATAATCTTGAAACCTTACTCATAGATTTTTTTCATTGTATAGGGTAAGCTTCGGAAACTGTGGCATGCAAGTGATGGTTCGATTCTCAGATTTATTGGAGTTTCATTTGCGCCGAGCTTTAAGTGTTATGAAAGCTTAATTCAAGACGTTATATTAATTCTGTGGTGAGATTTTGGTAAAATTTCCGCACAGCTCTATACTACTGTAAAACAAATCTGTTTTCCCGGTGGAAATGTATTGTTTTCAGTGTTATTGTTTTCTCTAGCCAAGAACTGAATGCATAATGCAGTAAGGGGCTGTGCGGAAATTTTACCGAGATTTTGATCACGTACCGAATATGGCAATTTGTACCCACCGCAAAGTTTCAAAATCGCAGCTTTCTATTTTCGCTCGACCTTTGTTTGAACCAGTCGATTAATGTCGACTGTTGTCCCTTCTTTCAACTCCACGGTGCCAACGACTTGCTTTTCATTTACAACACACGTTGTTCTCGTTTTCCCATTGAACAGCGGTGAAACTCATCTTTGGAAAGGTTTTCGTAAGCGAAATATTTGAGAAAAAAACTTAACGCACGAGGAAACGATGAAAATTGCATTAAAAAATGAGCGCCAAATGAAATTTTCTCTGTTTCCAATGACGTAATCTTTTGAGAATTGTTATTGACTGGCAAAGAAATCCGCTGGCTTGCCCGATTGCAGTCTCAAGAAAAGCGCACAAGAGAAGTGCTGGCCATATACCGTGCGGTCAAACGTGAAAGAGAGAAGTGAGAGTTGCTGCAAATAGATGACTGCTAACCGAGCATACATCATTTTTCAAGGTAGAGTGAGCTAAGAAAATGTAATAAGCTGGTTAAGCGTTAATATAAAACATTTTTATGAAGCTCAAAAACATATATTTGCCTTTGCAATGAGACGATGACGAACCCTTAAAATGTTTTTTTTGTGTCCTACTTAGATCAGCGAGGATGAATATTGCTGGTACGCTTGTGTTTTTATTGTCAGTCGTGTTTCCACTAGTCAATGGGAAAATCGATCACGGTGGTTTTGGAACTAACCGGGTGAGTAATTCAGTTCCTTCCGATAGCTCAAAACCTCACTGAAATCTCGCGCTCGATATTTCTAAACCGGTAATTAAACAACGGCATAATATGTGACTAACACAGTCTATAGACTGTACGATTTTACGTCACTATCTGCGTCGCTAACGACGTAAAATCTCTTGATATATATATCTACCGCCGTTAGTTACGGGTGCGTAAAATCTTCTATATATACACTACCGACTGGAAGAAATTACGCCGTTAGTTACAGGCGTAAAATCTTGCATATAACTACCGACTGAAAGAAATTATGCTGTTAGTTACTGGCGTAAGATCTCTCAAATATACATTACAGACTGAATAGAATTACGCCCTTAGTTACTAGCGTAAAATCCTACAGTACATAAATAAAACAGAGAGAAATTACACCGATAGTTAACGGCGTAAAATCTTACAGTATGTACATATATGTAAGATTTTACGCCAGTAACTATTGGCCTAATTTCTTCCAGTCGGTAATGTATATACTGTAAGATTTTACGCCAGTAACTAACGGCGTAATTTCTTGCAGTCGGTAGTGTTTATATGTAAGATTTTACGCCAGTAACTAGCGGTGTAATTTCCTCCAGTCGGTGATATTTATAATGTAAATTTTACGCCAGTAATATAATTTAATTATATATTAATTTAAATACTTAATCTACTGACGCAGATAGTGGTGTAAAATCTTACAGTATGTAAACTGTGTTAGTCACATATTTCACCCTTATAAATGTTCTCGAATTTTGTTGGACAAATTTCGTATTTCACTAGCTAGAGTTGCTAAGATCATGGACAGTTGGCTTAAAGACGCCAACATTATATGCAGCTACAGGAGAGGTTGCCGAAATAAATGAGAGAAAAAATCTCAAGAAGACGCCGTGTATTTCCGGCCAGAGGACAACATGAAACAAGGATGGCCAACATAGAAAACGTTTAAATTAAGAAAATTACAGGTTCAAACACAAGTTGAAAATTACTTTTCTCTTTAATTTTCTACGCCAAACCGAAGAGGTTGTAACGTTATGGGGAAAACGGTGGGGCAAGCAAGTCGTACCTGGCAACTTCAAGAGAAGATACAAGAGAAGCCCATACGGTTTAAGCGTGTTGTTTTACTTACTCACTGTTATCACGTTTATACTCTTCAATCGACCGGTGATGTCCTTTAACGGGAAGTAGTTTATCGTTCAATTTTGGCTCATTTTCCCAAATCGAAATTATCAGTCACGCTCAACAGAATATAATTTCAACTGATACTGACATCATACACTTCATCTGAGAAAGAACATTCCCTACCTTCGAAAATTTGCTCGAAACATCAGGAACAACAACGAAAATCCTCAGCTGCTTAAAGATACCGCTGATTAGCATGCGTGTTGATCGCTTTGAGAGTTGTGAGAACATCGTCCCCAGGTTCCAGACCTCGTCAATTTTTCCCCTTCCACACTCCCCAGACTGGTCCCTAAATCCCCTTGAAGAAACTCTACAGCCTGTGCGGAAGAGTTTTATTTCAGTTTTTATTATAATGAAGAGCTGGGAAATAACCTTACAAGAGCTCCGCTTTTAGGCTTGGCTAAATCTATTCATTATTTTTTCTTGATTTTCCTGAACGTGAAATCGACGGCAAGAAAAGCAGGGGAAAGGACGTACGAAAGTAATGACTGCCATCATTCAATAGCTTTTCTTAAAGAAAAAATTAGCTTTTGGGTGTTTAATCAGATGTTATTCATGTTCGTTAATTAATTTGTGAAAATCGCGTAACAGTTTGTTGCGTGATTCGTAATATTTTTTTCTCTTTTTTTTTCCTGATCAGGTCAAACGATCAGAAGGATCTCCACGAGACTGGCAGTGGTATTTAGTAAGTACAATGAAGCATTTCAGTTCTAGAAAATTTCTTATCCTTTTTTAGATATTTTTTTATTAAAAAAAAACAAAAAACAAGGCTATTTTAGCGTGTATAGTGGTATGTTGCTAGCACCAATCGGATCGCCGTATTTGGGTATGTATCTCGCACCAATCATACCACAGCTTTCTTGCAAATGATGTCATGGGATCAGGTGGCTGTGCACAAAAAATGACATAAACTATATATTTTGGTTTAATGGTTTGTGGTCGTCGCAAGAGCCTCCTCGGTTAAGGTCGAGATTTATCTGGATATGAAAGGTTCGCATTTAACCTTTTTGTATCTTTTGAGTCAAAAAGGGGTTTTTTCCGCTCCTTTACTCACAACTCAAACCAACCAAACAATTTACATTCCATCACTTACCATGAAAGCAACAGCAAAAGTCCAATCAGAACATACCAAATCATTGCACTACATGAACATTAGGCAATTTTTCACATGCTTGAATTGTATTCCACCAGTCAAATTCCGTTTTGCCAAATCAGACGTCGCTCCATCGCGTGTCATTTCCTTGTAAACAACCTGCATTTAATCACGTATTTTAATTGCATTGTCCAAACCCACCTAAAAAAATTCTCATGGAATTTTCCACGCAATTCTCCCGCGTCTTGACTTTTTCTACGAATAAAATTCGCTGTTAGCTACCTTGGACTTAATCCAATCGAGTGTTACTTCCTTGTAAAGCACCTGGATTTTATCACGTAAGTCACACACAGAGGGCAAAGTCCAGATAGGGAACAACCAATCAAGGAGCACTCTTCGAAATATTACCCTTTTCTCTTGTTCAGTGTATCTTCACTTATTCGAGATCACAATTCTCTTGTTCAATGTATCTTCACTTATTCGAGATCACAATATCTTTGTTTATTGGAGATACAACAAAGTTTCAGTTTGCTTTTCGTAGTAAAATTACGTGAATTATATTTTTGTGGCAAGTAACAGTAGACGAAATAATTTCGATTTTCTCTCTGTTAGAGGAACGGCAATAAGCGTAATCTCTTTCGCAGCTGTTACTTGGTCTCATCACGCAACGCGCTCTCTCTCAAACGGGGAATGTATGGCGTTGTGTGACGAGACCAAGTAACGGCTGCGAGGGAAACAACAGTAAGTGTGGCACCGATGCATTTTATTTTTGCTCAGAAGTATTTAGACAATAGACCACGAAGTACCTGTGTTAGTTCAGATGAATCAGTTTTTTTTCTTTTCTCTCATGGTGAAGTAATGCGATATTTTCGTTCGTTTGAAAGTTACTCAAAGTGTCCTATCTCAACCCGCCCAGCCAAAATAATAACTCTTGCATGTTACGCATGCCTATGTTTGTATTAGGTACTGAGTTATTAATGTGCGTAGCATTTAATATCATTCTGCCTGCGAGTGTGTGTGCAAGGTGTAACACCCTAGAGGTGCATGAATGTTTTGTACTTTGGCCACCATTTAATTAACAGTCATTCACCCAAGTGGAGGTGAATAATGATGGATAATTACTGACTTGCGAAGCGACGAGTTTATTATTCACCACTAACTTTACGGACCCCGGAATGAGCAATTAGTTTACTCGCCACACCCCACTCAAGAAGTGGGGAGAAACACTTAAATCTTTCGTGCTCTACCCTCTTTCTCGGTGCTTTACAACAGAACAGAGCACCGTGAAAGCTTCTCTACTTGTAAAATAATTCTTAAAGTCAGGGACTTTTATTCAGGGTTGTAGCGTTAGAAGTAATACCCTGCAAATCACAATCTAAAAGTCCCAGTAATCGATTTTTCATCGTATGCAAAATGCAAGCACTCTCTTTCATAAGAGCGTACTAGCTGTACACTTCGAGACCGGATGAGAGCCGGACGTTGTTGTTTCTTTAATGAGCCAAATTTTAAATCTCGGCAAATTGTATCTGATATATAATTAGGACCGATGTTTGCTCACAGAAAAACACAAAAGTTTCAATGAATGTGAGGGCCGCATGGCATGCTGGGTATACAGGAAAGGGTGTCCTATTGGCTGTTGTGGACGATGGAGTCAACATGAATCATCCAGACCTGGAGGATAATTTTGTGAGTCTTTCTACCAGTCATTAATTATCCCCTAGGGGGTGGGGTAATTTTTTTTTTTAGTGGGGGGAGGTTGGAGGATTTGGTGGAACGCATGATTTTTAGGGAGAACAGAAGGGGGGAACAGTCGTCATCCACAGGGTATAAATGGGGGGGCTATAGAAAACTGAGAGCTAATGTGAGGGGATCATAAAAATAGCACAACGTTAGGGGGGGGGGGGGGGGACAGGTAAATTTAATCGTGACACAACCAAAATCCATAAACAGCCCCCATGTAGTCAATGAATAACGACCACGCAGTCCCTTTTCAGTTTATTTAGTGGTAAATATCCCTGAGTTTTGCCTATTCAATTCGTGAAGTCGCAGGATTCGCCGCGAACTTCTCGTGACCAGAAACAGAGACAAGGACTTTCTATCTTTCAAAAGAAGAGGAGTATGACTTTATGCAGGCCTGGCAAATCGATAGTACATATTCATATTCCTTGCCAAGGAGGGCCCATTTCAACTTTGATCACACCTAGGCTCCTGAAACAGCGCCTTGACGCGGTACATTTCAATTGAGCTAACTGAGCTAACTTAACCATACTCGTGATCTGATTTACAAATCGAACTCCCGCTCCGTGATCTTCCGATTTTGTTAATCACTCCGATGTCTGTTAACAGACCGACTTGGACTTAATTCAGTCCTATTGCCGTTATCAAACGAAGCAGCGAAGTAGCTACAAGGTACTGGGGTAAACGCTAGAATCCCTTCGTTGTGATCAAAGGCAACCTATCATTCTCCTTAGTGCCATGCACCCCCTTAATGTCAAAACTCGATCAGTTTTGATTGAGTTAAATTGAAGTTCACATTATTTTCTTTTGTTGACAGAACGTAGATTCAAGTTATGACTTCTTGACTGATAAAAATATATCCAGGTCCCATAGCCCGGGCAGGTATGGTGTAACTGGCAGAATTTTCATGTTTTCGAATAATATACGATATTAGAAACCACCGCAATTTTATGTTGCCACACATAATACATAACCATTTTCTGTTTTTTAAACAAGAAAGTGTTAAAAATTATTTACTGTAGTGTTGTTGTTGTTGTTTTTTTTTCACAATACTTACAATTACTGATAGGTCTTTTTTTATCATAAAACAAGAAACTGAATTTACTGAAATAGAACGAGATATTATAATGGACGAAAACTGAAAAAAGCCTAAGAAGAATCAAGACAGTTGCCATAGGTTTTGTTTTTTATCGCTTGTAACATGGCTGAAATCATGATCTCTTTTATAAGGTGTTTAGAAGTGATCAAGCTGGCTACTCATTCGGTGCTAGAAGACCTACTGATACATAGTGAAATATAGTTCACCAAATGGTTAATTACATGTATGACAGTGAACGAGACGCTAACGGCATGTAATGCAAAGACAGGCATGTGTATCACTTCACTCTGCATACTCTATTGATTCATCTATATATTCATTTTACACTGTTGTAGTCATGGAACATCCTGCGCTGGAATTATTGCTGGAAGAAAAGATACCAATTGTGGTGTGGGTATCGCTTACAACTCGCAAATTTCAGGTAAATTTAGAGCGCTTTTCGATTCTGAATTGGAACTGAGATTCATCCGCAATTTCTCGGCAGTCACGTATGTTTTTTGTTGCATAAATGTGAGATTTTCCTAAACCATGTAAATACAATTTTTTGAGATGCTTTAAAACGGGTCGTACCACATAAGAACAAAGCTTAGCGATGTGAATATAAACGGTTATATTTCTCTCGGTTAGGTATTCGAATGCACAACAAGAACAGCAAATTATCCGACCAAATGGAGGCCGCTGCTTTGGGTTTCAGAAATAACTTTATTGACATATACTCGAACAGCTGGGGGCCTGGGGACATGGGCTGGCATGTAGAGGGACCTGGTCCTCGACTAGCGCAAGTCCTAAAAAAAGGAACAAGATTGGTAAGTTTAATGAATCCAAACCACAAAAAAAACCTGATGTTCTTGCTTAGGGTTAGGGTTAGGGTTAGGGTTAGGGTTAGGTAGCTGGTAGGTGTGATAAGGCTATATTCTGTTTTTGTCCGGCAAAATGAGACGATCTATCAGCAGTGAAAGAGTTCAACCACTTTTAATGTGATCTAATGCGGCGTTTTCTTGCGCAGGGGCGTCGTAACAAAGGATCGATCTTCGTATTCGCGGCTGGAAATGGCGGAGTGACGGGGGACAGCTGCGCGTTTAATGGTTACGTAAACAGTATTTATACAATCGCTATCTCCGGAGTGAACTGGGATGGAAAAGTACCAGGCCACGCTGAACCGTGCGCAGCTATCATGGCTGTAACTTATGGGGAAGACAAATACGATAGAAGAAAGGCTCCTGTGGTAAGCAACAAGTCAACAGAGGATGAAAGAAAGGAACTGACAGTGCCCTTATGTTACTTCGAAATTTTCAGTTGTATTCTTGATAGTTCAATGATTTATTCCCCATCCTATCACAGACCGTAAATTCTAAGGGGAGCCTGCATTCCTTTATCTTATATAGTTAAGAAACATATTAAAACTTTTACTTGTTACTTGATTTCATCTGTAGATAACAGCCAAAAATACGAGGGATTGCACAGAGTATTTTCCGGGAACTTCCGCCTCTGCTGCAATGGCCTCTGGGATTATCGCTTTGACACTAGAAGCAAAGTGAGTTGGAATATAAAATGGCCCGGGAAATTGTAAAAACTATCTCCTTTTTTTTCCCGGGCATCAGCCTCATTTGGCGTGATTCTTTCCTTTGCAAAGTTTTAATTCGTGATTTAGTTCCGTAACACTGTACGCCCACTTTAATCAATTTACTTATCTGTGTTAGTAGATGGAATATGTACTGATAACGCTCTTTCACGCTTTTAGCCCAAGTCTAACGTGGAGGGACATTCAGCACCTGATAGCTAGAAGTTCAAAGCCTCTGAATCCTCCGAACAGAAGTCGTCGCAATCCTGACTGGAAGGTCAACAACGCCAGTCTTCAAGGTACAGATTTATTCGCTTGCAAAAGTAGATTTTTTGATCCAATATTTTTCGCCGGTTCTAAATGGTACACAGCTCCAATCCTTTCAGCGGATCATATAAATAGTTTTGTACTGATTGATATTTTCTAACTTTTTTAGTTAGCGATTTTTATGGATTTGGATTGATGGATGCGTATGATATGGTTCGATATGCAAAGAATTGGAGTCCTGTTCCACAACAACTGCATTGTGAGGTTAACCTCAAGTAAGTAAGAAAATTCGTGTACTACTTTAAACATTTTTTCTACGCCTTTTATTTCATAATATATGCATTTAAATTTAATGCATCCTAATTTGTGTCGATGATAATTCAAATCACATCATTTTACATCATTTTTGTTTCACAACACCTTAACTTCAATAACAAAACCTTATTTTCTCATAGCCGAAGCAATAGAAACTGCCAAGATTCCAGGGAGTTTTCCCTCTTTAGATACATTTACGGAGCAGTAACATCATAACTATAACTTGATATGCTGCTGTTTTTTCCCTTTGGATAGTATGTTTAGTCGTTTTTATTACAGCAAATTCGATTAAAATAAAGTTAGGTGCACATTGTTTTCGAAAATTTCCCGTTCGTTTGATGTATGTAAACCTAAATTTAGGAACATTTCGTGTAAATTTTAAGAAATGTAAATTTTCTTCGCTTTGTCAACGTGCATCGTTTATTTCTCATGATAAGGTATCTTACGCCATAAAAGTTGCTTTCGACATTACTGATCGAAGCAGTCTGTGGGCCCCGTACATAGACTCCCGTTTTCCCTTTTTATTCAAATTACGTTATAGAAACTTTCACCAAAAGGTACAACAAAAAATTGCAACAAATTCAATGAAAAACCGAATTCTAGTTAAAACCGACGCCATGTTCAATAGATAAACTACGAATAAAACTTTATTAACACTGAACTTTCATTGACACTAGCTGAACAATGCAAAATTTTTTTTTCAAGCTCATTAACGCGGGAAATTCCCTGGAGCGAGGAGTTATTACTTACCTTGACTGTAAACAGAGAAAATTGTGGTATCCGATTCCTAGAGTATGTGGAAGTTCAAATCGACCTGACTTTCCCTCGACGAGGTAATCTGCAGATGTTTTCAGAATCACCAGGGAGAACACGATCCCAGCTTCTTTATCCACGAGCGTTCGACAGTATCGTTGGCACAAAAAATTTCACAAAGTGGACAGTAAGCAGTCTACATTATTGGGGAGAGGATCCTATTGGAGATTGGAAAATATTGATAGAAAACTCCAAGCCAGGAAGAAAAACTAGGAATGGTAATATGCTTGTGTTATATTCGGTAGAGAAAGCCGTCCAATTTAAACTGATTATGCCTCCCACTTTGTTTTTTCAGCAGTTTTAGCGAAATTCTCCCCATCTTCAGAGTCACCCACGAAATTGACGGTAATGAAATCAAGAGGTAAATGATTGGTGTCAAATTTGCTTTTATACTATTTAGTTATTATCCTATCTATACATTTATTTATTACATAATAATTACCTCGTGTTAATTCAGTAAGAATTGGCGGACAACAAAGCTTCAGAAAACGAAAATTAGTCTTTTCATAAAAAAGAGTCGTTTTTCTTCCATTTTATGTCAATACAATCACACGAAATTGTGATTTGCAGAAGGTGATTATTCTATGTTTTCTTTACTCAGCTGGTAATTATTCAGACTGGTCTTCCTGGTCCCCGTGTAGTGTACCGTGTGGAGATGGACACCAAACGCGTCATCGTTCGTGCACTATGAGATCACAGTGTATTGGAGATGAAGAAGAGGAACGATATTGCACATCCGGAATTTGTCCAACCCAAGGTAAATCTCTCACAGCTCTTGCGTGTTAAAAAGTATTAGTTCGTAAACTCAGTTTTTACGATCAATGCGAGATGATTAAAGATGGTGAAAAATCGCGTTGTTGACTAAAAGAGGTTTTTCTAAGACCCAACACAACCATAACTGGAGAAGAGAAAAACTTTAAATTACTCACAGCGATTAACGCCCTTATGGGACTTTTTTGCCGGTTACAGTCAGTTGTGCCCAGTAGAGTTTACGTTCCGTAAATAAGAAATGAATAAATGGGGCAAGTTTCTAAAGAAACGGTGGTGCTACATCGGTGGGGGAGGGGGATGGGGGCGCTGTAATAAGATAATTTGGTTCTATCAACTGAGTTAGTGATGTAAATGGGCCACTGTAAAGAGTTTCTGAAGCTGAAGTTCCGAGCGTTAGCACTTCGTCAGAGCAAAACGCACGAAACGTCAGCCATAGAACTCTCTACGGTGGCCAATTTCCATTTATCAACTGAGTTGATAAATGGAAAATAATGAATGGGCGCGCGAGATATGGAATTTATCTTCGAGTGTTCAACCCGATATCTCACCCTCTCGGGTAAGAGAAATTCGATATTTACAAGCAACCATGTATAATTTTTTTACCATATAAACACAACAGCTCTTTATCAAAAAGAAAAGTCGATTTATTAATGAATCAATCATAATGATGAAAAAATTATGATCCACAATCTCGATTGAAGGAATCTCGATTGATGGTGGTTATTCTCCATGGTCCCATTGGTCCAGGTGTAGCAAGACATGTGGAGAAGGAAGTCAACAGCGTTCTCGCAGGTGCAACAACCCCTCCGCCGGCGAATGGTGGAGCAGACTGCAGGAGACTGGGTAAAGATATGGAAAAACGAAGTTGCAGGGAACGTCGGTGTCCGGGTAAGTTCGAGGAAACAGAGAAATGACAATTGCGACGTGTTATAATTTCTGGCCGAAAACGATTTGTAATCATGATGTTTCTTACGTGTCCCCGTAGTTAATGGTGGTTACACAGAGTGGAGCAGTTGGAGTAGCTGTAGCAAATCATGTAACGGAGGAACTCAGCGACGAGTTCGTTACTGTTCCAACCCGACACCAGCACATGGCGGGAGAGGTTGCTGGAGACTGGGGCGGAGTACACAACGACAAGCATGCAATACGCATCAATGCCCTGGTAATTTCTTAAATAATTTATCCACTGTAGTAAGCATTCGATAACCTGCGTTCGGTGATATCACCAATAGTCCCTTTCTGTGAAGAATCTGGTGAGTACTCAGACTTGCTTTTTAATGAATCCAAAATCCGAATGGAACTATGATACATTGATCATAGCCTTAAAGTGTTCAGTAGTGATCTTTGAATAGCAATGTATTATAAGCTGGTTCTACAGCGACAAAACTTGGCCTAGAATTGCTTAATAAAGGTAGTAATAATGTGTTTTTGTCATTGGTTCCTAGGTGTGGGAAATTGTAAGACAATTAATACGTGTCGTGATTTTTGGCAGGCACAAGTCATATTTTAAAAGCTGCAATTTGAAAACCTCTAAACATTACAAGTGACTTTTAATCACGGAATGCACCTGTATATTATGAGTTGCCTTGTGCATCATGTATTGCGTACACCTTACATGCAACAGTTTTAAATGGTTCTAAATATCCCTACATGTTTCATTACAAAGCCCTAAAAAATAAATTGGTTTTATTCTTTACAATGATATAGGTCATCTCTTTTCATTGAAATTAATTCTGCATGGAACCAAAGAGGACCCTCTCGCAAACAACCCTCTAGTTGATAGACGGAGAAAGGTGATAAGGAATGTAGATATCAGTGCACGCATAAGAGGTCAGTCAAAGATCATCAGTTATTATCCATCAAATATTTTAGCGTACGTGCGATTGGTCTAAGGGCGTCTCATGATCAAATATGCCCCAGCTGAAACTGGGAATATCCAGTGATATTCCCCGATTTTCAAACCGATATGACAAAATTCTTTTATTAAAATTTGATTCAAGATAGAAAACGTCTGTTATCGTTACAGAAGGAAATACATGTTTGTATTTTTTTAGAAATTCGTCCCAATAAACACCAAAAAGTTAATATCGACCAGTAAACAGTACCGTGCGTTGCAAAAAATGTTTGAAGGATAATAAACAGAACCTTCCATTAGAGACGCAAAAATATGCACTTACATACTCACAGTTTTCCTTGAGGTTCGAGCTCGGGGAAACTGTTCGCATCATGGAACAGATGATGTTCAAGGACAAATATCCGTGCATATTTTCGCATGAAATGGCAGCCGTTGTTTAAATTCTGATTATTCTGATTATCGTGTCTGTGTTATCTGCCAAAGCCGAAGGCTTCGGCAGATAACTCAGACCTCGACATCGTTAACTCATGACATTAAGCTCAACTTCATCCAATGATTGCATATTATTGGTGTTCTCTCCACATTTGGCATCTTTTGGTATCTATTATTAAACAAGTACAATACTAGTTGTTCGAAGATTTGTTCAGTTCAAATATGTTTCAAGCCACTGAGACCGCTTTTAATCTGAATTCTGTTCACCTTAAATGCTCTTTCTCTACGTTTTTGCCTTTTTCTTTCTCGTGTTAGCGTTTTGAAAATTGCGCAACATTTCTAGCCGAAAAAATAGAAAAGAAGGTTTCTATGACAATAGTCCTATGTCCGTACTTTCGTACGATGATCACTAGAAATTACATTCATAGCCAAAGTGTATTCCAATAAGTTCATTTGCAAGTCGTTCCGTTACTTTTCATAGATATTCCAGTTCATGGAGGTTATACACCATGGAGTAGATGGAGGCCTTGTACCAAGTCATGCGGTGGAGGAATGCAGATTAGCACTCGTTCATGTAGTAATCCCAAACCAGCAAACAAGGGAAAAGATTGCAAGGGACCATCTGAAAGAACACGAAGCTGTAACAGCTTTAGTTGTCCAGGTAAATTCTAATGATCAAAAATTGGCTGAGAAACTTTATAATTATCAAATTTATCTGGCTTCAACTGAAAATCTTTCGTATTCAAAACTCTCACCCTTGATAATATTAATTGAACGGTGGTATTTTTTTCAGTTTCTTGGAGCTTTACCTGAAGAGCCTTTTCAACCGTAATTTGCGTAGTGAATTCAAAGGCCTTTTATTTAAGAAGTTTATGTCCATTGCCTTGAGACTCGAGTCTTTTTACTGTTCAGGTGCAGTTGGTTTCTTGATCGACAAGGAGCTTGAAATGCACATTTCGTTTGTTTGGCTTGTACTCTGTATGCACGAGGTGTAGCACAGTCCAAAAAAGTGAATACCTGCGAAACATCGGCCACACGGGCTTTCCTATTTCTTGAAATACGACGGTTTCTTGAGCGAAGATTTTTCTGTAATGTTATTAGAAGATGTGAAGGTGGCAAGGGTTGAAGTCCCAGGGTTGGAATAGAATCTTTGATCTTCGTTCTTTCTTTCAATTTTAAGATTTTTCCCGGCCTCCAGTTTTTTCTCTAAGCATTCCATGTCCAGGTAATATTTAACTTTTTCTTTTACTTTGGCAACAATACCACAACGTCATGAGGGCGGTATTGCCTGTAGTCCCCTTGACTGACAATTATTTGGGGATTTTTTTGCCTAACCCTTTTTTAATTAATCGTTTTTTTATCATATGTTTTCATACCGAATTCACCAACATATGCAACCGTTATAGGAGGTTTAAAAATAGCACACCCTCTTATTCCAATCATTCATTTCATATCATGTGGTGTGTAAGGACTGGTCATTTTCCATTAGTTAGCTTATTTGTAGGTCTCAACTTTGCGACTTGTGCACAAATCACATCTATTGAATTTTTTAACAAGTTGATGGTTCGATCAGCAACAAAAGATTAATCAAACTGTACAAATGCATAAGAAGGTTGTTTGCGAATTTTTTTGCTTTACCTTTTTTTATTATTGGATAATAATGGAGTGATCTTCAGTTCGCAGTGACAAAGAGTGTCAAAAAGAGCTTTGAAAAATTTTGGATTTGTGACCGTTTAAATTCATTACGTTGCGATGTTTTGAGAAGTTTTTGCCTTAAATAGATAGCCTATCATGTACATACTAAATTAGTCAAAAGAAACGATGAAATACATAGTAAACTCTAAACTGTTTGGGGACAGATCTGTTTTAAAATACCTCTTATAAAATCATTGCAGTGCGTGATCATGATAGGAGACAAAACTCCAAATACGTCGTTTCGGTCCAGTCCCACCGGATCCGCTCGCAATGAAAAACGACTTAATTACCTCTAACATAAGCTTAAGGTGCAAAGATGAAATTGGCCCGAAATGATATCCTAGGAAAAAAGACATGCTAAAAGTACGTTTAACTTTCATATCGGTGTTTTTAAACTTCCAGAGGAGCAGGACAAAACGAGCGCAAACTAGAAACTACTTTATCAGTGTGCCAAATAGAGGTTTCTGACCAAATTGGAAGGTGTGAAAAAACCTTTTACTAGTACCGAGCTCGAGGTGGAATTTATGGCTCAAGCACAATTGAGTGATTATTTGTATCTGATGAGAAATCCGAATTATTCCAAAATCTAAAGGGGAAAGTTTTAGTAACTTATGACATAGCAAATCTCTAGTATCTAGTGAATAGTTTTTCAAGTCTTTTAAACTGTGGGATAATCGATAGTACGGTACTGGTTTGAATAGAGAGAGATCTAATTAAAGCTAAAAATGCAATGCGGACCTTAGGTTTTGAACAACAAAACATACTCTTAGTCCAGGAGGATCAAAATTAACATTCCAGTTCACGATACCGTGTTTTATTTTTATAAGGAACCCCGATTGATGGTGGTTACACAGAATGGAGCAGTTGGAGTAGCTGTAGCAAATCATGTAACAGAGGAACTCAGCGCCGAGTTCGTTACTGTTCCAACCCGAAACCAGCACATGGCGGGAGAGGTTGTTGGAGATTGGGACCGATTGCAAGAATACGGAGGTGCAATACGCATCAATGCCCAGGTAACTCATCAACTTTTCCCACTAGAAACCAAGTGAGAGATGGTATTGCCTTTTGTCATTATCTCCTTATCTTCCTTGTAAGTGTTATTTCTTGCTGTCGAGAATTTTTGAAGACCTCGGAAACTTCTTTATATTTAGCACACTGTTTCGTTGGATAGGACACTTGTTGGGATTGAAAATTTATAGAGAAAAAAAAAAACCCAAATTTTCCATTGGCTATGCTATTACTGAGAAATTACACGTCAAAAACGATCAATCCCATGAAAGCATTATGCTGCTTCGTGATTTTTGTTAAGTTAAATGAATTTGTCGCGGTGCCTGCCGGTACGGTAAATTTCGAGGCGTGCGTGGGGAATCAATTTCACTTCCGTGATGTCAATTTTTATTTCAGCCAATCGCAGGTTGCAGAAGTGAGTTCCTCAAACATTAGTATTACTCCTTATGAACAAAGTTAAGGGTTTCCTTATTGGTGCTCTGCAGTTGGAATAGAGAATCGTAGGCATAGTTCTTAGCAGATATATCAGACAACTTGAAGGCAAAAAACCTATCACCGCAAACTAAAATAAATCGCCGATCCTGAAAACAAAACTCGCACAAAATTTAATTATTTGCGGTTTTAAAGGTACAACTGAATTTTGTTCCAACAATTTCTATAGCTAAGGCCCCCAGTGCTCTGAAAGCTTGTCCCTATTTACTAATACTTTTCCAATCTGAATAGAATTCTTTTTATGTGTCTTCCAGCCACGTCCTGTCAAGATGGTAGCACATCCTGCTCTTCCTGGAAAAATATGTGCTCTATAAGCAGTTTCATTCGAGAAACATGCTCCAAGACTTGTGGTTCATGCAAAGGTATCGTGACTTTCCTAGTTATTCTTTTTGCTTTGAACCCCTTAACTCCCAAGATTTTATTGTCAGTTCTCCCCTCGTGCTGTTACAGTGAAGAAATGTAAAATGGTTTCCGTGTTTACATAGCCTGATGGAGGTTGGGAGAACACGAGATCTCCTCCCAAGTGACCTCCCAAGAGACCTCCCAAGTGTTTACACCAGGCAATGTAAACACGGAAACCATTTTACATTTCTTTTATAAAATAACTTATGAAAGAGGAACGAAAACCGATCAGAGCACGCGTACTATTTGAATTATTTTGTGAAATTCCTTGTAAATTAGTTATGAGAATTTAGTGTTAGATAAGGATAACAAAAATCTACTTGATAAGTTCGAGTTTTCTCATCACCTATTTGCTGTATAATGTAGGGATATTATGGGGAGAAGTTTCATGTTAGTGTCTTCTGGGACTTAAAGGGTTAACAGCGTTAGCGCTCATTAAATTATTGTTATAAGATTATTCTTTAACAGAACCTTCTCCGTTTTGTAGTACAGAACGCTGCATTAATATGATAATATACAGATTTAGCCAAGCTTAAAAGTGGAACTCGCATTTTTTTTTCCTGCACGTCTTAAGGGCACAACGCCTTGCCCCGGCCAGGACTAGAACCCGGGTCGTCCGACTCGGAGCCCAGTGCACTGACCACTGGACTAGTGGACAAAGCCATGGCGTTGGCGTGCCCGCGGTACAGTTGACCACGCATGTTAAAAGTAGCACCTTGTACGGTCGGTCGTACGGTCGTAAGTCCAAATTTTTTCGGCTTGATGGGTTGCTACTACCATTTTGTATAATTATGGGGCTACGCTCTGCGAGCTCCGCTATCATTGCTACTGATTGGGAGCAATGGAACTCAGGTGAAATATGCATAGGGCCTCTGTAACTTAACCAATGAAATCATTGAACTGTTTTTTTTTGCTCTGATGATTCCTTTTTATGCATAACGACCTACTATTTGTATTTTATTTCAGTTTGAAAGAATTCGGAAATTTTCTGCAAAGCCACCTTATTGACTACTCTGACGCTGAAATTACATTAAGAAAGATAACTGGCCCTCTATCACGAGCGTCCTCAAGAAATTGGAAAGATCTCTTATTTTAAATCAAGAATATCCTTATGTCACTTTGTCCACAAAGTCTTTTTTCTGAATTTAAGTTTACAAACCCCCAAGGTTTTTTTGTTAGGTTTCCTCTTCATTAATTTGTCCCCTGAAATTATTGATTAATAGGATTTAATATATTTACATAAAGTTGTAAAGTAAAACAAGAAAGAAAATCAAAATAAAAGGCCCAATGATATAAAATGGTTATCATTCCTTCGTAGAAAAACTATCGTTTATACAAAACCAGAAGTGATTTACGAAGTAAGTCACATTTATTCATTGCTTGAAAATTTTAATAAAGCGGTTGATTGCTTATTTACAGTGTACCTTGATTATTTTTAAAATTTTTTTTACATTTTAGGTTACCATAGCAACACTAATTAGTCTCAGAAATGCTTTAAGGTTTAAGTGTTTGAATTCAATTTGTACATCAATGTCCATCTTTCTGCCAAGTTAACAAAAGTATCTACATGTTGTCCAAAGCTACCGAAATTTTTAAGGTGGCTTTTAAACGCAATGTACAGAGTTTTCACAACTTTGCAGAGAGATATCTTGATATCCTGATAGCAAATCGGTAATCCAACAAGTGGCTGGTTTTCGCACTCGTTCTTTTAGTTACTGACAGATAAAGGAAAAGTAAGGAAATTTCAAGAAGCTGTGGTGTTGATGAGAACAACATGTTGAGAACTGATACAAATTTTAAATAGAGGAAACAAAAACTTCGGAAGTGCCACCTTAAATTTTCGCTCTTATCGCACAGCATTTATCTCTACTCTTGGCTTCCAATCTATATGCTTTTTGCGTCTCCCTTTTTGAGAAGACTCTGTCGTGGCAGATTTTTTACCTTTTTCACCTCAACATCGTTATACATCTTCTCCATACTGTTCTCCAGACATTTTTAAGGTGCTGATAAAGAGTATTTGTTCATTTTAATGATCAAGAGCTTCTTTGGTTGGTGATCATTTCCGTTATTCTCATGACCATGCATAACGATGTTAGTCACTCTTAAGGGTTATAGAAAAACGTTTCTAAATGGAGACAGCGTGTGCGTTTCGCATCATGCAGTTTAAGGTTCGACATACCCATCGAACAATATGGCGTTTTTCATGTTACTTAACATTTCTTAACTTAAGACCGTATCTATTTCTTATAAAGAGAAATCTTTCGCAAGATCTCTTGGGGTCACTTGTGAAGAGAAACTTTGAGAGTATGATGACTGTTGTTAATCATGTGCCAGTCCTTCAGAAAGCTATGGATATGACTTCACTTGAGAAGAAAGATCAAACGTATCCCAAGTTCACCAAACCAAAAGCCGAAAATAAAACGAAAAGAGCGACAAAAAGATAAAGAGGAAAGAAGTTGAGGAAAAGAAGGAAAGTAGAGGAGAAAAGAAGGCGCATAGAAATACAGAGTAGCATTAAATTCAGTCACTGATTGTCTCACCCCTCCGTCTGGATCCATGGTTGCACCAACAGAGGTTGAAAGAAAATAAAGCAAAATGAGAAGTAATAACAGTAGTGTATGCCCACTTCATAACTTGCCAATACTTTAAAATAGTCAGCAGTAATCTGATGGAAAACTCTTCTTTCTTATTCTATCAGAACTGATGCAGTTTAGCACGAGTCTTGACTGGTCTCCATCTTTTTATTACTTCGTCCTCAGAACGAAAGGAAAAACCCTCAGAATGAGGTTGTTATATGTCTCCTCTATTCACCTATCCCCTCCCCCCTTCATGGCACTTTTCTATATTCTCTCCCTCCCCTTAGTTTTTCTTATGTGGGAGTCACCGTCACTTAGTTCTTTAAGCTCAAACGATGTTACCTTCCACTGAATGCCGAAATATTTTGAACTTGGCAAAGCAGTCACAATGAGGTGGAGATTTCGAACAGTGACAACCGTCTTCGTCACCATCCGCTAGCCAACTGATGCGATCGATCTGGTTTTTCTGAAAGTTTTCAAAAGAATTGAAAGTAATATTTAAGAAAGACAATGTAAAATGAAATGAGAATTCACAGAAAACCTTTTGGCGCGGATTCTTGAAAGCTTATCAGAATTAAGCATCAAATATCTCCCACAAATATTCTGACGTTTTGATCAAAAATCAAGCCACAACCAGCTGATAGGGGAGGTAAAGGAGAGGGAGCCTGGTTACAGGTTTTCCCAAAATTCTCCAAAAGAAGGTAGGGAGAAAAACTGATTGATCAGAAAGTAGTCACGAAGTTAGTTACTCAGAAGCAGCGCACCAGAGCAGCACACCCTCTAACGAGATCTATCTTGATCATAACCTTGGTATATTTAACGTAGGCCTTTCCATAACTCAGACGAGGATTGTCAAAAAATATAGGCTGCTGACGGGAATCTATCGTTAAAAAAAAAGCTGCCTGCATCTGATCTGCGTTACTCGTAGTGTCACGCAATGCAAGCGTTACGGCAGTGTGACGGACAAATCAGGAGAGGAATTAGGAAAAGTAAAGAGTAGGCTTTCTGATTTCTTATGCAAAGCTTCTCTCAGTAGGAGCTAAGGGTGCAATAGTGGCGTGACGGCCAAATTGAAAACAAAATATGTTAAAAAAACAAAGAAAAAACTTAAGATAAGGATGAAGAAATGAAATGGATCGAAAAGAATTGGGAAATTGCGGCAAAACCAATAAAACAGTTCCAGTAAATTATCAAGAAAATTAAAATAAGAAAAAGAAAACATGCCCACGGAACAATTATCATGTGCCTGAAATGAGGCTGCTTCTTCCCCCAAAGTTTAGTTTAGTTCCGGTTCTGTTCCAAGTCGCCGGATGAGGTAATTGACCCAAAGCAGAATATATCGCGGTAACAATGGTCATGTGCTTCAAATGTGATTGCTCTTCGGTAACCTGGCCAATTAAGGCCAAGCATTATAGATTACCTTGTGATGTTTCGTGACAACCTTAATCTCAAAGAAAATATCTGAATAGCACGGCCGTAAAACTTTGTAGTCTTTTGCATGTCTTTTTTAACTGTAAAATTAGTCTTCGGAGCTTTGTAACTCAAAGGAATTTATGAAAATTTCTATCTTTTCAAACAATCAGGAAAAGTCGTAATTAGATATTACAACTGGAAAATGTTAAAATTTTTATCTGCTTGATTATCTGTAGCTTCAAATTGATGAATAATTTACCCAAATCAGATGATCACGGAAACAATAATCCTGCGCTTGAAATGTGATTGCATATAATACCGTGGAATATTTTGCGTGACGTGTTGCCCTTACATAGAAAAATGACGTAATGATGGAATAATAAAACTTAATTTATGGCTTGGCTTACGAGCAAGTTATCTGTAGTTCGTTTGGTGCAGCATTCGACCGAGAAGTCAGAGAGTCTGTGATTGGAGCCTGAAGGAGAACTAGAATTTTTCCCTCAGGGTTAGGGTTATTCTCTCTCTCTTGGACAACGGTTTAGGAATAATTTTGGAATAGAACATTTTATCGCAGTCAGGGGGCTGGATGGTTCTTTTTTAACCGCTGAGAAGCTCCGAAGCTGAATTTTATCAAACGACACAAAATGGTAAAAATAAATGCAAAAGATTACAGGGTATTTCGGTGGTGATATCCTCCTTAAGAAGGGAATGATTGTCACGAGACATCACAAGACAATTCATATTGCCTGCCTCTAATTAACCTGTGTTGAGACCTTCCAAGGTGACGTCACAAGGAACAATAACATTTCTAGCACATGATAAATGTTCCCGTTCTTCCGTTTTGGGTCAGTTATTCAAGGAACTTAGAACATGGCCAAATTTAACGGATGAGACAATCACCTTTCAAGAACATGATAATTATTTTTGTTTTCTTCTGTTTGGGACATACCTCAGAGAAGAGGGAATCACATTTCACGTTCCAATCAGATATCACGTCCCTATTTACAAAAAGAACAGATTCAAGAACAGTTTTTTTTACTGCAATTGCATATAGACGATTTTGTTTGTTAATTTTATAGGGTAATATTTTGAATACTTAAAAAATATTATTTTACTTAGCTCCAGAGATGTAATTCTGAAACTTCAACAAAGCTATTTAAGAAATATTTGAAAAACTTTCAAGCACATGATAATTGTTCCCGTGATCTTCTGTTTTGGGTCAATTATTTCATTTACCAACTTGGGACATAGCTAAGTTTTAGGGGGGAGAAACCATCACATTCTAGGCACATGATCATTATTACCGTAATTTTTTTTTTTTGGGTCAATTATTTCATTTACCAACTTGGGGCAACCATAGTTCAGTCACATGATAATTGTTCAGATTTAAATAACGTTCCATGATTCTTTTTTTCATTCAGTCAATTCGTCACAACAAATTACAACACAATGGGTCGCTTACTGGAGGTTATCGCATTCTTGGTGTTTTGCAACCTGGTCTACACAATGCCTGTGTGGGACAACGGTATGACACTATTTTCATTTGATAAATCGAATCGCTTGCTCGTAATACGTCTCAAATGTTACCATATTTTTTATTCTTTCTCAACATCGGACACTTGCAACATTTCAAATCATAGTGATATGCACGATGCTTAATGTGTAGAGTGTAGTCATTGTTTTAATTTATAAGACGTCGAGATATCTTCCGGGTTGAGTCGTATTCTCTCGCGCTCCGTAGAACAACAAGCATCTCGTATTGTATGCTAAATAATCGAATGCAGAATTTTTTTTATTTTATAAGCCTTGTAATTTAGTTTCTTTTTCTGATTCTTTGGCTTCAATTTTTCGAAATACATCCTACGAAATAATATAAACTTTGTGACGATCGCATATCGAGTTCAATAGTCCTTTCTGCCGAAAATATTTTTCATTTAAAAATTCGTCCCTTACGAAGATCATTCTACAAGACTTGGACAAATCAATGTTTGGATCGTTCAGCGTGGCCATTCTGTTGTTCCGCTTTTCGTCGGTATTTTTGCCCTGATCTACGGTGTACTACCGTTGCATATTTTGGGTGTTGCTGCCCCCACATAGTAAAATGGCTTAGTAATGGGACAATAAAACCTAATTTATGGTTTAGCCTGGATCCTCAAGGAGGACTGGAATTTTAACCTTAATTAGTCCTTCGCTAGGGAAATGGTTTCGGAATCATT